GCCGGGGCCCAAAATCCACAAGGTCGTCGGGGGCCGAGCTACAGCCAGTGCAGTAGACTTCTTGTGAGCCATGCAAAGTGTAGCACTTTGAGCTCCGAGAAGCACCGCACGAGGTCACCATCAACAAGGACGTGCCTTATCCCGTAAAGGAACCCCCCCAGGCGCAGTGCCTTCGGCAGATTACAGCAGTCCTCACGGCCTGAGTCGTATACAGGTCATCACCGTCAAGAAGCCCTACACCGTGAAAGTTCCCGGCCACCGTGGCGGCCTCAGTGGGTTAAGATTGGTCAAGCTTCGGGTTCAGCTTGACTCGTTTCCTCGTCAGGCCACTACGTGGACGTGCCGGTCCCTTCGCCTCCCCACATCGTGAACAAGATCAAGTACCATTATGTCACTGTGCATGACTACGACGCTCGGCACAGCATGGTGGCCCTCCCACCGCTGCAGCATTGAGAGACAGGGGAGTGTCGTCTGTCCTCCTCATAGCCTCAGAACTGCGACTCCCATTTCGACAAGTGGTACTATGCTTGGTCTGGCGCGAAGTGGCTTTGCTGCATTTATCTACAGCGGCGAGTGTGAGACGAGCTCTTTTTGGTATGTGCAGGAAGCAATGGTGCTGCGCGCACCAGCACCTGGGCTGCCCAGGACACTTCCTGCCGTGGTCCTGCTGTGGAGTGCCACTGCAGTGGGGTGGGGGCTGAAAAAGCTTGAAAGAAGCCGGAAGGATCTTGGCACCATCACCACGTGGTGACCATTACTGGTGTGCAGCACCTCAAGCACTATGCGACTCGCCGAAGGTCTATGTGTTGGATGATAATATAATATTTTGAGCGACCTGTCATGCTCAGGACTGCCACGCCGGCTTGTCCAACTGGTATCACGGCTGGTCCCACGTGAAGAAGTCCTGGTGTTGCGTGGCTCCGTCCGGGTTGAAGAGAGATTGCATCCACATGCATCCTGCAGTCATGCCATCATCTTGTTAGGCAATCTGGCTGCCACGTCAGCACCCGCTCAAATCAATGTAGTATGCAGATGTCAATCCAAACCACCGTGGTGGAGTATGACCTGTCATGCCTGTCAGCACCAGCGTTGCGAGCACGACAGGACCACCATCAGCTGGGCTGCCCTGGCATGGCGCACGGGCAGTGGCACGCTCACACTGTCTGCGCCCTATACACAGCATGTCGAGCGCTGCCGCATGCAAAACCTCTCCTCAAACCGCAGCGAAGCTTGTGTAGCGGCAACCTTGGCCGCGTGATGCTGTGATGGATACCGAGGTGGTGCACACCATCATGGGCCACCATGCCGGCCATGGCGGATATGACTGCGATGCAGGCTACTCCAATTGGGAGCACGGCTGGTCGCAGCCCCGACAGTTCTGAGGTGCCTGCTGACTTTCCTGTCTGTTCAAGTGAGGTCGTACCACAAGAAGACGTATTGCTGCGAGCACGAGCACAAGGGCTGCCAGCCGTACCACTGCCACCACCACGAGGACCCGCTGCCCGCCTGGGCTGCTTGAGATGCTGTGGGAGATGTCGCGGCCGGTCGTCAGGAGGAGCACGACACGTGGTCGGAGGATAAGCGTTGGGAGCCCCAGACACGTAGAGTGAGGGCAGGGTTGCATGCTTGCTTTTTGCAGGCGACTATTGCTGCGGCCACTTCCAAATCGCCTGCGCCGCAACCACGCTGTCGCCTCTTGGGTGTGACGCCGCTTGGCCAAACTTTTTAGTGCAAGAAGGATGTGGTACCTACAGTATGTTGCGTTCCAGCCCACTACAAGGAGTTGCTCTTCCTCGGTGAG